TAGGTTTGAACTTCAATTGCTATTGTTGTCCTATAAGTTATTGAATAATGTGCTATGAATTTCTGTATCATAGAATGACATATAGATATGTGACTTGATCTTACAAACTATGAACTTCATACACATCATATCACATTCTTCCGATGTATAAAATAAAAATTCCAATGGCTTTTGCTACTATGACCTTCCCAACTACGATTTTTTATTTTTTTTGGGCATTCCCCTCGAAATAAGAAATTTTATTGATACTAGAAAAAATACTAAACAAAAAAAATAATAAATAGTGGGTTTCATCGTTTCTATGGTTACTTCTTAAACATATTTCTGTTTTGATTCATCACTGGAGTTGAATACCTCATTCAAGATTTTTGTATCCAATCCATAGGAATCAATAGAAAAGGCAAATCCCTTATGACACACCAGATCCGACTCGGTTATTGATAGAGTGAATAGATCTDCCATTTCTTGAAATCTCTCTTCTGATTCAAAATCGTGGTGTAACGTATATCCCCCCCTGTTCCGGTCATGGAATAGATGAAATAAATCAAAAAATGGATTTTTGTTCAAGAATGAAATCTTATTGGAACTDTCCATATCCGGTTCATCCTTCAGAACCATATTACATCCCGAATATGATGAAATAGGATGGATTGAAATGGTATTTTGTAAATACGTAATTATCTTGAACATATAAGCCATTTCTTTATTTTTCGATCGCTTGGAAGGGACAAAAGAAACATCTTGTTGTTTCTTCAACAATTTTTGATCTCTAGTGCACCTCTTAGTAGGATTCAAACCCAGATGAAGTTTTGACCACCTGTCAGAGAAAAAAGAATGAATTGATCTTGTAGGATTCCCAAGAAATTCTTCGATTTCTTCTAGATCACGTTCTGTGAATAGCTGGGACATTGAGGAATATCCATAAAGGCATTTCGGGAACCAGTCTAATTCTATCTCTATTCGTTCCGCTTGAATAAAGGAATGATCCCAATGAATCGAGCTTTCTTTTAGTTGTTGAATCTTTCTTTGATCGATCAATGTGTGATATTCTGAATCCTCATTACTAATGGTAATGAAATCAAAATGATCTCTGAATTGATTAGAAGATCCTTTCAATTGGCTAGAATCTGTTACTTGAATGAAAATAGATCTTGTAGAATCATATTGAATATTTGATGATACATTCCGTACCTTACTAAAAAACCGATCATTGTTTACCAATCGTATATTGTCTAACCAAATCTAATTATTTCTCGATATGTTCCTCAAAAAATTTGATTCATGTGGATTCTTCCCCCAACTAATGAAGAGATCTTGGCAAAATTGCCACATATGAAATTGAGCACAATTTTGCAAAAAAATACCCTACTTGTTTCTTGAGAAGATGGGAAACATGCTCAATACCATTTGATTGAATAGTTGACTCAACTCCTTGTTGTTTGAAGAAACCCTCCACTTCAATTGGTCTTTTTTCACGAAAAGCAGACATGAGATAACAAATCCAGTGTTTCACTAAGATTTCAAATAGCTGTCTCGAATTCAAGTTGATTATGTTTTGCTTCTTCCTCGGAGAAAGAYGATCAAACAATTCCCAATCATGGTCCTTTCGGATCGGATCATCAGTATAGGATACAAAAAGAAACTCCAGATATTTAATATCTTTTTCTTTAAATGAGATCTCAATTTTATATATGGTTTCATTAGATATCTTACAACCAGAATCCCTATTTTTTTCAATCCAATTCCTCCACCACCTCGAACCCTAGTTAGATTCATGCATGATACACTTTTTAGTTATTGGGAGAACCCAAACACTCTCTTTCAGATCCATGAAACAACTCTCAGAGATCTTGTTCCCTTTTGGAAGATACAGGAGCGAAACAATCAACCTATTGATATTGAAAGACCCAAAAGATTCTTCTAGTGTATCATTTCTGGGTCCAATGGAATTCATAGGTATAGGAAGAAGCCHCATCAAATAGAGATTTTTTCTTTCGACCATATTTTGATTGTTAATACGATATAAAAGGACCGCTACTGCAAGCAACACTACACCTTGATCGTGAAATATCGATTGCTTGTAAACACTTAGTATATGTTTGGCATCGATGTTGCATATAGAAAACGGTGTTGTATATGTGCAGGTTGGGAGCACCATTTTCTAAGAAAACAATGTCTTTTTTTTTATTTGGAAATGTTGCTGCCAGGTAGGACGTTTCCTGGGGCAGAACACCTTTTGTTTGGTACTAGTGCTCCATATTTCTTTTCAACACTGGTACCCATTATAGGAAGTCTACGTTACTGCCACATCATGTCCTCGTCGGCAACAATGAGCTCCAAATTGAGAAAATGTTGAATTTAGCGTTTCCCCAAACCACGCCTTCTCGATTTCCAAGACGTGGTTTGGAGCACCATTTTTTATGGAAAAACGGTTCTAAACATGTTACCGCTTTCTGGAGCACCGATTTTTTCAACGTGGCACTGCTGTATCACCATTTTCTTGAGCAATGTCATCAATGCCAAACACTACCTTACATACGATGAGCTAACATTGTTTTTCAAATAAACAACCATAGAAGCAAACACCATCTAAGTTAAAAAAAAGGGTGAATTACAAAGACCCCCTATACTATGGGGTTTGTGACAAAGACCCCCTGTACTTTGTTTTGCGACAAAGACCCCCTTGTACTATGACTATGAGGCAAAGACCCCCTTGTAATATGACTATGAGGCAAAGACCCCCTTTTGTTAGTTTTCCGTTAAAATCCACCATTATAATATTTTTAATTCCCATACTACCCTTATAAAAAGAAAAACACTGTTCATCTTCCCTGACCTCACGATACAGGAACGGGATGGAAAAGGCAACGACGAGGATGGAGTGCTGGCTTGGTATGTAAAAAACTCCTCCAATCCAAACCAACCAACATTTGGTTGACAGAATTGGCCTTAGAGTTGCTATTAATTACTGTTGTTTCTTCCACGAATACACCTTTGTGAATTCAACAATTACACTTTGTAGGCTACAACAAGAAATTAAGAGTCTAATGAAGGGCTTTTTCTATAAATCAGCTTTCTAGCTCAATAGTTAATTGCAAATCCAAGTTATTGTGTGTTTGACATCCACGAGTCAAGACCGAGATTGCTTTGATCTTTTCTAGTTCTTTTTATAGATTAATGTTCCTTACTTGTTTCTCTTCTCCTCTACTCCTCTCTCTCTCCCTCTCCCTCTCTCTCTCTCTCTCTCTCTCTCTCTCTCTCTGTTTTTATCTTTTGTTGGTTTTGGCACGAAATTCAGATTACCGTGATTGAGTTCTTTCTTGATCTGGAAGTTATGGTTTTACCAGAGTCGTAAGAACCAGGGCAGCTGGATTTAGGGTCATTATTGGCGAGGGAAGAACCATTGCTTTTCGATAAAATTAGGGTAGTTTTGATCAACGAGAGGAGACATGAGGGGCATCAATAACACCATGGACACTATAAGTGTTGTTGCGTTTGCAATCGTCACCGCTGATGCTCGAGCCTTGCCAGCTACAGTTCAGGTAAAATTTATTGACTGATTCGTTAGTTTTGAAGTTTCTTTCTTAATTATAATACTATGCGCTTGTTTCGGTTTATAGTTAACATTATTTTTGGTTGAGTTCTTTGAATTTGAATTCTTGGACTTTGTGATTTGCTTCTGGGGCTCGAGATCTGTTGAATTACTTAAGCTTGTTTTCGTTATTTGATAATCCTTTTGCCTTTTCCTCTACGTTTTCATTTGAGAATTTGGGTTCTAATTTGGAGGTGAAAGGGAGAATTCTCTTGAATTGAATTCGGTAATTAATTTGAAATCTTCCTTTACTAGTTCTTGTGTTTTCGTTGCATTTCCACTCTCAATTTCTTTAGTTCTTTGTAAGACTTCAAACTTGCCTTGCTTTCAGAAATTACAAAACTAGTTTTACTAGATTTCTTTAGTTCTTTGTAAGACTTAAAACTTGCCTTTAGAAAAACAAACCCCATGCCTCTTTTTATCAAAATCCCACCGTAGTTGAGGTTTCTGGGGTTCTCTTCATCGTCGTTGATCTGATGAAATGCTTCAAGTTCAACCTCTGCTTCCTTGTCATTCTCAATTTGATCGCTCAATTTCTCTATGGAAGGTCTCCGATCTCCAGCAAAATCTCAACGATTGGTACCAAAACCACTTCCGGTGTTTTTTCTGCATGGAAATGGATTGGTTCAGACAATGATAAAGGTTCTGGATTCCTTGCCATCATCTGCAGATGTCACATGCCTCGTCATTTTGGAAAAAAGTTGCTGCCTTTTTAGGGACATTCCATCAATGAACTCCAAGAAGTGAATTAACAACAACCCTGGGGCCAATTCTGTCAACCAAATGTTGGTTGGTTTGGATTGGAGGAGTTTTCCACATACCAAACTAGCACTTCATCCTCGTCGCTGCCTTTTCCATCCTATTTGTGTATTGTAAGGTCAGGGAATATGAACAATGATAGAGAAGATGAACAATGCTTTTCTTATTATTAGGGTAGTATGGGGATTAAAAAATATTATAATAGTGGATTTTAATGAAAAACTAATGAAAAGAGGGGTCTTTGTCTCATAATCATAGTACAAAGGAGGGTCTTTGTAGCAAAACAAAGTACAGGGGGTCTTTGTCACAGACCCCATAGTACGGGAGTCTATAATTTACCCTAAAAAAAAAAGAAAATAAAGAAGCTAGACTAATTGAACACATCCAAAATCATTGAATTGGATGAAGGTTTAAGTTTGACCTCAATCCGATCCAACCTAGTCCGACTTGCAACCCTGGACCGTAACCTTCTTTCAGAGTGGAAAGTTGCATTCATATTTATGTATAACAATACCGTAGACTTGGAGATAAGCTTGTGATTTGTGAACGATACCCGAAAATCATCTAACCGGATCGGATTTGAATTCTACTTTTGGTGAATCCGAACCGATTACAGCCCTACTTCGGGATAGTGTTACGAGTTGCTCTTTTGCAACCTTGAACCCGCGCCTCTCGACTCAACAGTCATTGGCGTTTGGCGCGGGTTCAAGATTGGCATCGTTCAAAGCCCTAAAGATTCACTTAAACCCTCAACCTGACTGTAAGCAGCAGCCAGCCGATGGTAGCATCGTTCAAAGCCAACATAAGAAGAGGAACAAACCGTAGCTACACCGGGCTATAGCAGCGTCGTTTAACGGTAACTTGCTAGAAGAAGAAGAAGAAGAAGAATGGGCAAAATCCCACCTTCATTTAAAACAGCCAGACTCCCTGTAACTACTCTACTTAGAAACCCCCGGTCTATACCTCCCCATGAATCTTCTTCCCCGTCTGTAACTCCAACTCCCCATCCCCACCATTTCCCATCCACAAAGAAAACTGCCAACAAGAAAAAACATTCATCCTCTCGTCAGAAAACTGACCCATCATCTCAAAACCCTAGTCCCATGATCTTCAAATCCCCAAACCTCTCCGACGCCAAACAGACCTTCAACTCCATCCTCTCCACCTCCCCGGCCTCACTAGATCTCCGCTTCCACAATGCCCTCCTCCAATCCTACTCCCAGATCTCCACCCCGCGCGACTCTCTTTCTTTCCTGCGCCACATGATCGCTAAACAACCCTCCTTCTCCCCGAATCGATCGACCTACCATATCCTTCTCTCCCTGTCCTGCAAGTATCCCTCCGACGACCTCTCCCCTGTCCTCGAAACCCTTGACCTAATGGTACAAAAGGGTTTCCCTCCAGACCACGTCTCTCTCGACCTCGCCGTCCGATCACTCTGCTCCATCGGTCGCGAAGACGAGGCTGTTGAGTTGGTCAAGGAGTTATCCGTTAAATACGCTCCACCTGACTCTTTCACCTACAATTTCCTTGTTAGGCATCTCTGCAAGACTAGGGTTTTAAGCACCGTTTACAATTTCATCGATGATATGCGAAATTCGGTAAATTTGAAACCCGATGTCGTTACTTACACTATCTTAATCGATTCAGTTTGTAAACGCAAAAACCTCCGAGAGGCCACTCGATTGCTCGGAGTCCTCGACGACGAGGGATTTAAGCCGGATTGCTTTCTTTATAACACAATAATGAAGGGTCACTGTTTGTTGGATCGTGGGAGCGAGGTGATTGCGGTTTATAAGAAGATGAAGGAGAATGGGGTAGAACCTGATCTTGTGACGTATAATACTTTGATTTTTGGGTTATCGAAGGATGGGAGGGTGGATGAAGCTAGGAAATACTTAGATATTATGGCTGAAATGGGGCATTTCCCTGATACGGTTACTTACACATCACTGATGAATGGCATGTGCCGGAAGGGAGATGCATTAGGAGCACTGGAGCTGTTGGAGGAGATGGAAGAGAAGGGCTGTAGTCCAAATTCATGTACGTATAGTACATTGCTCCAAGGGTTGTGCAAGTCACGGTTGTTGGAGAAAGGGTTGGAATTGTATAAGATGATGAAATCGGGCGGAATGAAACTTGAGGCAGCTTCTTATGCTACGCTTGTGAGGGCACTGTGTAGGGACAACAAGATTGCAGAAGCTTATGAGGTGTTTGATTATGCGGTGCAGAGTAAGAGTCTCACAGATGTTGTAGCATATTCCACATTAGAGAGTACCCTCAAGTGGCTAAAGAAATTCAAAGGACCAGAATTTGCTTCTTAGCTTATTCTACAAATACGGTAATTTTGTTTGTTTCCATTCTCTACCCGTTTCAATCTCCTTTTTTCACTTTGTCTTGATGAGAGGTTACTTCATGCTGAATTTTGATATCTGATAATCCATTCTCGTAATCCTGTTCATGCATGGGTTGTCCTAGTTATTTTAACTTCCAAAGACAAGATGCAGTATTGCTTATGATTTTTTTATAAACTATATTTAACAAATTATGGGATTGTCTAAGGTCTTGCTTTTTTTTTCTCCATTGTAAAGGGAGTAGAAGTTGTTTTTCTTTCCGAATAAAAAATATATATACAAAGGAAGTGGTGTACAATACTTAGTATGTCTCATCCTTTAGACGGTGGAAGGATGTAAGAGGGTAACATTGTTTTCAGGAATGATTTCATTATTCCAAATTTCTTCCCATTCACTGTTTCGAGGAAATGAAGTACAGTTGCTTGAAAGGGGCGAAGATACTGCTTTGCCAATGATACCTCTCTCTCTGCATTTGGTTTTTTTCCTTTTCCTTTTTTTAATCATTGATCTAAACTCAAATATATGGTATCTAGCAATGTTTTTTTTTTCAAATAACCTTTGATTATGCATGTGATTTATGAGTTCAGCACCATTACTGAGGCGGCTCTTAATTGTTGGACCACCAAAGGTATGTCTCGCTCAGTTATATTTTTCTTAGAAATTGAAGAGTTAATATTACTATAATTGCTTTGTCCCTTTACAAACATTAGCCAGGCCAAGCAGATACAAGGCATTTAAGGGGTGTTGTTATTGATTGGTCTTGAAGAGTTTGTTGGTATGTAAACTATAATAGTGGGAGCTCATGGTATAAAGGTATTAAGTATTACTTACATGGTGTATTTGTGAACAAAAGGACAACTATTTATTCGAACAATATGTTACTTAGCTAATATGCATAACCAATTACATGTGCTTGTGTTGAACTAATGTGGAAATAATAGAAGAAGATGGTATTTGAACAACTGGACTCTTTCATGATTACACACTTACACTTGAAAGGAAGAATGAGTTGGATAGTTTTTACTGTACCTAAGTTGTTAGAATGTATGTATTATTCAAAGAGTGAGTTGGAGATTGCATTTATTGAACTGTAATTTCAGAGTGAAAATATATATTTGTTTGTTTGCTTTGAAAATTAATCAGTTTAGGTAAACTGTGTTGATAGCAGAGGAGCTGATCTTAGGTCAGCCTTCTCATTGAAAACTGGCACATTAGAATGCAATAAAGGAATGTGTATATATATATTTATATTTTGATCAATAATGCATTCATTAGCAATTTCATTAATTCAGGATAAAGATGATTACAAAGAAGAAGACAAGCACTCTTGTCTTCCACATACAGCTAGAGCACTTAAGAAAAGAAAAGGAAATGGAAACAGTAGTTTACAAATTGGACCAAAACATTGAGTCCCTTTCTACCCCTTGTTTAGCTAATCTATCAGTCAAGGAATTAGCCGATCTTTGAACCCACCTCATCTTCACTTCCATCTCCCTCACCAGCCACTTAAACCTTTTCCTCTCATTACTGTAATTCCATAGGCTACTGTTATCTTTATTCAGCCACCCTATTACCACCTCCGAATCCCCTTCAATTATGATTTTTCTGATATTCATCTCCTTAGTTTTCTGTATCCCTCCCATAACTGCATAAATCTCAGCTCTAAGGGAGTCCCCAACTCCAATTGGACCCAAGTATAATGCAGAAATGACCCCATTCTCATCCCTGAAAACACCTCCAATCCCTGACTGTCCTAGGTTCCCTCTACTACTGCCATCAAAATTCAGTTTTAAGAATCCAGCAGGTGGGGGTGGGGGGTGGGGGTCCAAGGCACACTTATTGCTGATTTGCTCTGCGAACAGTTTGCAATTTCTCCCCACTTCCTCAGCATATCATCCACTATGTAATCTGTAAATAGCATTAAGGATTTCAGCCACTGTACAACCCTAATATGAATTGTGGCCCTCAGTTCATCAACCCCCCTCTTGACTTTTGAGAAGATCCTGGAGTTTCTTTCTTCCCATAGTGACCAACATACTACAGCCTTAGTCCCTTCCACATAATCTTTCCTCTTTTCACTGTCCACTTGAAACAAGAAGGGGAGAATAGACTCTGCATGTTTGATGGTGGATTCTAGCTACACCCAAAGAGAGCAAAGGCCCACTCCCAAACAGATTTTGCATATTGGCAAGATACTAGTAAGTGGAAACCAGTTTCCCCCTCCGCATTGCAGAGAACACACCAATGAGGAGGCAAGCAAGTATTGGGTCTCTTTTTTTGGAGCAAATCACCAGTATTAATTCTTTCCAGATAGGCTTCCCAACAAAAACTACCAACTCTGGGAGGAATTGGTTTGCACCAAACCTCCTTAACTAGGAAAGGGAGGGGTAACAGGATTAGTGGACTGGCTTAAAACTTCAAAGAAGGGAGCACAAGAAAAAGATCCAGTTGGGGTAGGGGTCCAAATTCTAGAGTCCATGTTTGAGGGGTCTAAGAAGACATTATCAAGGAGATCAAGGAGGCTCGAGATACTGTCTAGGTCTGAGTCCCTCACAGCCCTTCTCAGACCCAGGTTCCACCCAGGCCTAGAATTGGAAGAGGAAGGGGTGATGAAAGAAGAAATTGGCTCATTCTTAAGGTCTGAAAGAGCATACAAAGAAGGAAACTGATCTTTTAAAGGTACAGAACCCACCCAAATCTGTTCCCAAAATTTTATGGTATTACCTGAATTCAATTCATACCTGATGTAAGGGGAGAAAACTGGTAGCAAATCATGAATTGCTTTCCAAGGAGAGGAACTTGTGGTCCTAGCTTTGATTCCAGCATCCATCCATTTTGCTTCAGCCCATGTATGCTTGCCACTATCCTAGCCCACAACTTCTCCTGCTCCAAAGGAAATCTCCACAGCCACTTCCCCAAAAGAGCCATATTTCTTTTTTCTAATGTTCTCAAGCCCCAACCCACCACAACTTTTGCTCTTGGTCACCACCTCCCATCTAACTCTATGATTCCTCTTTTCCTCTCCCAGCTCCCAAAGGAAGTCTCTCATCATCCTCTCCAACCTGCTAGACACCTTCAATGGGACTTTAAATATTGACATGAAGTAGATGGGTAAGTTTACTAGTGTCAGTGTAGTCCTTCCACCAAGGGAGAGGTAAGTCTTTTTCCAAGATGCAAGTCTCTTTCCAAATCTTTCCACCACTGGGTTCCAAAAGCTCTCTCTCTTAGGGTTATCACCTAGAGGCAACCCAAGGTAATTTAAAGGCCATTCCAAAACTTCACACCCAAGCACTTATGCACATTCCCTAATCTCTCCCTCTTCCAAATTCACACCCACTCTACACAGCTTTTCCCAAAGTTTACCTTCAAATTTGACATTTGCTTAAAAAATTGTATCACCAATTTCATGTTCCTGATAAAACCCACATTACCTCCTTCAAAGAATAGGATCGTGTCATTAGCAAACTGTAAATGGGTGAGGGGTGTTTCCTCCCTTCCAACCCTCCATCCTCTGATAAGACCTCTAGAATCTGCCCTGTGTATCAACTTCCCCAAAACATCAGCAATCAGAATGAACAAGAAGGGAGAAAGGGGGTTTCCTTGTCTTATTCCTCTAATGGCTGGAAAGAAATCTACCACTGTCTCATTCACTAGCACTGAATAATGGCAGTTCCGAACACAACCCATGATCCATTTACACCATCTAGCCCCGAACCCAAATTTAGTCATAACCTTCCTCAAAAACTCCTAGTCCACCAAATCATAAGCCTTTTCCAGGTCCAACTTACACACCATCCCCTTCTTTTTATCCTTCTTAAAACTCTCCACATTCTCATTAGCAATGAGGATTTGGTCTGTAATCTGTCTTCCATTCACAAAGGCTCCTTGATTTTGTGCAGTGATGTCTGGCAATACCTCCTTCAGTCTTAAAGACAACACCTTTGCAATAATCTTATATAGGCTATTAACCAAACTGATTGGTTTGAAATTCTTTGGGTGGGAGGTCTCTTTCTTTTTTGGAATCAAAGCTATGAAGGTGGAGTTCATTCCTGGGTTAACAATGCCTCTCCTGTTAGGTACTGCCTAACTCGGGGACTCTTTCGAGGGAGCCTGCCTCTTGAATGAGAGAGAGAGAGAGAGAGAGATTGTATTCCCAAATCGATAATCCCCTCCTAACCTCCTTTCCTTATTTATATACTGCTGTTACAATTCCGTTATACCAGCTTCTCCACTTGTCCAGTCCACTTGTCTAGTTTGTTATTTAGTTTGTTCTAGTGGTTGGCTGTTAGCTACATTCTTTAAAGGCTGGTGTGGCCTTTTCTTGTACACTTGTATTCCCTTTATTTGTGTCCCAACATCTCCTATGAAACTCCTCGAACACCAGCAGAAGGTCATCTTTCAAAATATCCCAACAATCCTAATAAAAAGCCATTGTGAATCCATCCGGCCCTGGGGCTTTTGTTCTATCCATAGAAAACATAGCCTCTTTGATTTCTTCCAGCTCAAACCTTCTTTCCAGCCTTCTCCTATTGTCCATCCCTACATCTGGCCAATGCAACCCTTCTACCCACACCCCACCACTTATAGGCCCTCTTAGAATGGATTTGAAATGCTCAACACATGCCCCGACAATCTCCTCTTGTTGTGTTAGCTCCACTCCATCTACTACCAATTTGGATATAAAATTTCTCCACCTCCTTCCATCTGCCAAAGAATGGAAATATCTGGTGTTCCTATTTCCCTCTTGCTGCCATTTACACTTGGACTTTTGCCTCCAGCAAATTTCCTCCTTATGTAGGCAGTCCTCTAACTGCTTTCTCAAGTCTCTTCTAAGTTCAGTGTCTCCCTCTCCAAGTTCTCCCCCTTCTTCTCTAGAGTCCAAGCTTTCAATTTGGTCCATCAAAGCTCTCTTACTTTCTTCTAGCCTCCCAAACTCTAAAAGATTCTACTCCTTAATCTTTGCTTTCAAAAATTGTAATTTCTTGTGGAATCTCATCCTCTCCCATTCCACCATTGGGTTACATTCATACCACCACTCCCCAACTCTCTCGATAAACCCAGGATGAAGTAGCCACATATTTTCAAATCTAAACGGGGCAGGGCCTCCACTCCTTTCTTCCTTGCCAATTACTATGGGCCAATGACCAGAGGTCACCCTATTGATAAAAAAAAAAATGACCAGAGGTCACCCTAGGGAGAGCTCTAGATGCCAGATTTCCCCAATGTTCTTCCCAGTCCAAGGAGAACAGGAACCTATCCAGCTTGGAACAGATGGGCCTAGATTGGAGATTGGTTATTCTCAATCTTGTTGATACAAATTATGATCGGAAATAAAAATGCTGAGCATAGAGACATGAGCAGGCATTCCAAGTTTGTAACAATGATCAACCTGTAACTGGAGTAATTAGAATCTAGCTTTTACAGCTCCTGAGTACTGACATCATAAGAACGAGTAATGCATACAATATTTTAAAGCAAGATATTTTATAATTGGTTATTTAAAAGAAATATATCAATCTTGTTGATACATATTTTGATAGGAAACAAAAATGCTTAGCATAGAGACACGAGCAGGTATTCCAAGTTTGTAACAATGATCAACCTGTAACTGGTATTGGAGATAAAAGAAAAGGAATAATATGAATACGACTCAGATCTAATTTCACATCTTCCACCACCGAAGCTTACATTGAACCTTTTCTAAAAAGGCCAGGAATGAGTAAAAAAAGAACATTGCATTCGGTTGAAGAAAAAACAAAACTAATCAGGTTAATGCATTTAATCAAATGAGTATATTGTGACAAATGTCTGCCTTTTCATGTATTCAGTACACAGGAATAAAATCTTGGTATCTGACCATTTCATCTCAAGGGGTTGTGACCTATAAAGTCCGTGCATATTGTTTAACTCTTGCTAGAATCAGTTCCCCACTTGCTTATTCAAAGTATAGAACCAATTTGTTAATTTATTTGGTAGATTGTGGATTGTGATTGTCCCGGGATCAAAGGCTGTTTTGATAGTATTGTGGCTAATAAAGGACTACAGCAAGTTGAGATAACCATTCTCTGGAATCTGATTGCATTTGTCATCTGTTGCAACCTATTAAGAGAGGAATATAGAAACTATTGAAAAGAAAAATAAGAAAATATGGACTGATGTCTTGGGAAAGGTAGACCAAACAGCACAAGTTTGAACTTTTCACCTTTTCTTTCTTTTGTAATGAATAAGAGCATATGGTGTTTGAATCTTAGTGGAGGTTTCAGTAACGAGGCACAATGCTTATGCAAGTATCTGCCGATCAGGTTTGTCTCAGGTGGAGAGGTTGAAGAGTGAAGTGGTGAGATCAGTAAAGCAACGCCTGATATTTGGTGGACAAAAATTAACAGGTGGTGAATCAACTGGTGGAGCTCAGATAGATTTAAAGGAAGGGGCAGAAATGGAAAGGGAGGGTTCTCAAGTGGGTAACTAATGATTTTAGATATTCCAATTGGAGGGACAGGATGTTGACATATGCATAACTGCATAAGAATAGGGGGCAAAATGAGACAGTTAGAAGAAAGATTCATCTTCATCAAAAGTGGCAGGTTAATGATTTGAATGATTGGAATGATTCATGAATAAAAGGGCCTTCAGCCAATGCTCATCCTAGCTTTCTGAGGTCTTTGGAGTGGTAGGCTGGATGCAGACCTAAGTCCTACCCTCTGGCACTTTCTTGCACAATGTGGCCCCCCTCAGACTTGACCTGGGATCTCATTCATCTGACCCAAGATTTTACCAGTGAACAATTCAAGAATGCTTTTCTCCTTTATTTGTTGGGTGGTTGTTGAACTGTTGAATATTGTTTTTATGAAGTTAGAAACTGGTAATTGTTTCAGTATGGTTGCTTGTTTCTTTGGTTGGTAAATTGATGTAGTCTTAAAACTTGGGATTCTGATTTAAGGTTTATAGTTCAAATGGCATGAAGAAGTAACATGTTGGAAGAGCTAGGGGCAAGCTAAAATGAAAACTTAGGATTATGATTTAATCAGTCTGTTTTGTCAGTAGATTTGCTGCAATTAAACTTTGCTATTTTAAACACCAAAAGATGTTAGCATTGTCGTGTTTTGAGACAATTTGTAGTAGAAGTTTTCAGTGGGTTTTTCAAGACTTGTGTAGATTGGTTTTCTGCAGGTTGACTGATTAAGTACATGCATCATGTTTTCTCTTCTTCTTTACATCCCATGAAGATTAATTTCACAGCATTGACTTATACTAGACTCATAGATCTTCTGTTATTTTGAATTCATTTCAGATTTAGATTATGATGCTGATGAATAAGAGCTTGTAATTTTTGCAGCTTTCGCCACCTTTAAGGTAACGAAGTTTTCAAGTCCAGGCAGATTTTGCCGCCTGCATTTGCCTATTGAGAATCTGCAACACATCCCTTGGCTAAGCTGATCCATTTTGAACCATCTCAAACGTTGGGGCAATCTGTATTAAACTGAAGCCCAACAATTACCAAAGATAATTGAATCCAAGGGGCATTTGGAGTCAGCAGACTTGTGAGGGAACTTCTTTGGGGACAGTTGGGAGTGTCAACTATTCCATTCCCCACTAATAAACCGTCAGTTGACAGAAAATATTAGACGATTTTTAATTTTTTGAAAAAAGTCTATTTTATCCTTTTTTCTAGCACCTTTTATATCATATGTATAAAAAATACCCTTGTTTTTGTCAATTAAATGTACTATATATATATATATATTTTGCTGTGAACATTGAGGTGCAAAAAAAAAAAAAAAAAGTTAAAAACAAATTCATAAAATAAAATTGAGATGATAAAACTCCTGACAATCAGAGATCGCGATGTAGAACAGAACGGGGAGGGCCAAATGGTCTCTCTTCCCTTGCTTTTATATTCTTTCTTACAGTGTCTATGGTACATAGAAACTCCACAAAAAAATCAATGATCACAATCTTGTTTCGTAAATGTGGTTTTCGCTGAGACCACCTTTAGCCCACCAAGCTACCCAATCTGGTCTTAAGGGCGTTAAGGTGAATGAACATGAACCTCATAAATTAATGGTTTCCGGATTCACGAAATACCTTTTAGGCTTTTACCGCTGGTGTTGTTTGGGCTAACATATACATAGTCATTCCATCGATTCACCGTGGGCCGGTTGCTATTGCTGGGTCCACAAATCCCACCTCATCATTTGGAACATGCAAATTGCAAAACAAGGTTCTAATTCTGGGGGTCCGTGCGTCTTTTAGACAAGAATTTGGAATTCATTCAATCTGAATGGTTGAACATCAATTGAGATGTCCAAGTAGAATATGAAAATGTAGATTTCATCTGGACTGCAAGGTTAAACACATGGTCCATTCAGCCCGTCAATACCTTGGCCTTAACGGACAACAAGGCCGGATCCCATCTCCTGGAACTTTCATGAGATCTTCTTGGAAAGCTATTTATATTATAATTAATACAGACATGAAATCTTAATCTCACCTTAAAATCATCAAATGTTTTGCTTCCGAGTTACAAATTGCAACAAGGTACAGTTGTACGTGATCCCATCTCCTACACATATATATTCCCTCGTGCACAATCTCATTGTGTCCCCCCTTTTGACTTTTGACCCCCTCCCCTTGTGCGGTTATCCCCAATTGGCTAGTTTGCCACGTGTTCGCGTCCCATGTCCCTCCCTAAAAGGTTACATTACCTCTCTCCACCCCTAACAACCCATGTTGCCTACGTTACATCTAATTACACAATAATTTAACACTAATTAAGTGTTTATGTTACTCAACAATGCTGTGTGCTATGAAGACATGACAAGCTGGCACCCCCCTGCATCTCACTCGTGTATGTTTATTCCGCTATTTCTCTATTCAAGCCCACACAGATGACGAATACGAATACGATCGATCGAATCGAACAAACCCCTCATTCCCATTTGAGCGAACGGCAACGTAATCCCTCTCTCTGTCTGTCTCCCAAGATTCCTTGGCCACCTCTACCCTCCGCTGTTATTGACTTAACCGTACCAGTTTCGTATTCAGGAGAGTTCGTCGTCCTTTCCTCAACATCCAACATCCGACATCCTATTCAGAATTCTTCTCTTTAAAACAGAGGAGCGGGAAGTTGGTGATAGATCTCAGGAAACCATTCATTAACCAGGAGCCCACTACAGACTTCATCTTCATTCTTAGCTATCATTGTTGTTCCTGCCGATTTAATTTCGATAACAATAATCTTGATTAGAGATGTTGCGGCACAACTTCGAAGCGCTTAGAAGCCTGCATGACTCTGCTAATGATTTGCTTCAATCGCCCGTTACCCAACAAGCACTAGTCCACCATCGAGACGAGAAATGGATTCACGAGGTCACTGAAGGATCTCTAAGAATGTTGGACGTGTGTAGCATCACAAGGGATGTCTTGTTGCTGGTGAAGGAACACCTGCAAGATCTTCATTCTACTCTGCGGAGAAGGAGCGCCAGAGAACCAGATTTGGATGATAAAATCGGGGCTTACAACTTCTGCAGAAAGAAGATGAAGAAGGAGATGATCAAGTGTCTACAAGCATTGAAGAAGATGAACAAATGTGGGTCATTGCCACTCTCGGAAATGGACCAGAATCTCGTGGCGGTTGTCGGCATATTAAGACAAGTACGAGTGACCACCATCTCTATCGTGGAGTCCATCTTATCCTTCATGTCCAGATCAAATAGAAATTCCTTCATTCCGAGGTGTCTTCGGGCGAGACGAGTAGGCAGTGCAGTAGTGGAAGAGAATGAGGTGGAGAGGGTGAATACAGCTCTGTGTGCCCTTCATGGGAACACTTGGCGTGATGAAAAGACGGACGCTATTGGGGTTCAGACTGCAAATAAACGATTGGAGGCATTGGAGCTTGCTATTGAAGACCTAGAATTTGAATTAGAGTGCATGTTCAGACGATTAATACGAACCAGAGTCTCACTTCTCAACATACTCAGTAACTAAGGACTGGGATTTGGTCTACATATCCATTAGACCTCCCACAGGCAGTCACCCGGCCCATTATTAATATTTAATTAAACTTTTAACATAGAAACAGATGTAACGAGTCACTGATTAATTCTTGATTAATATCGACAGTTTCAACCGTTAACAATCCTGTAATTCTTTTTATTTTTATTGCGCGTGCGAGTGCTATAAGAATGTAACTCTTTCTCCAAACAGAGGCTTTATGATGGTGCATACAAAACCATGAATCTTTTGGTTTTGGTTATGTCTGCAAAAAAATAATTAATAATAATTAGGTCTCGAAGAACCCTTCAACTAAAATCTTACTTTACACCGGTGTTAGGTTAGGTCATTGAATAGATTTTTATTCTCTAACACCCTCCTTCATACAAAAACCCATTGGGATTTAAGTATAATGGGGCAACGAGGATCAAACACTAGATCATGATCATATGGCCAAACAAAACAGGCTTTGATACCATCTCGAAGAACCCTTACACTTAAAAGTTTAAGCTGTTAGGTTTGGTCTCTGAACAAGTTTTTATTCTCTAACATTAAGGAGGTCTTGAACCCAGTTGAGACTTGAGAGCAGTAGATATAAAATTGGACACACCTATCACAGATTGAATGGAAGTGCAATGGAAAAACAAAGTGCAGCCAGATTTTGATTAAATTAAGGAGCAAATTTGATTGATTAAAGATATACCCTTCTTGTTTGGCTAATAAGATGAATAGCTGAGCCACCTTGTCTCCAGTTCAGAGTTTCAGATGGTTAATTAACTGGCGCTGACCAGATAAACAGGGCAAACCGAAATTTGATTTGATACCGCGTGCTTAACATAACATAGCATTGAGTTTCTTCCATTGGAAAGCCTGAGAGATCCTTTCACAATGACTTGAGCTTCATCATTCAGCCCTTGTCCATGTGCAGAGGGAGACAATTGGAATCTTGACAGCCTTGAGTTAGGTCTATGTTAATTATTGCAGAATTAATATTCATTTCATCTAAATCTTGATAGTTACTTGTTGATTTTTAATAATTTTTAGTTGATCTATCCATCTATTCAATTGTGTAAAAAACATCGAATATAATTTCTCTGCACAGACCTTCCTAATACCTACTGCAACAACAACAATAATTTAGAGTGCTTGCTCAAATTGAAGGCTCTTCTCCTCCTGTTCAAGGCAGGACATAGCCACATTGGGTAATAATCTACACTTGAAGGTGCAAATGGCATAGCTTCAAAATTGGACGAGTCAACCCGGACTCGTACGCGTAAGCTCAACTCAACCAAATTCATGGGTTAGATCAATGTGCAGACTGGTTTTGCCGATGGAAGTAGATGGGTCGACATGGTCAAACTAGGTGAAACTCGACTGGATATTCGACTGATGAGATCATATATAATTTTGGAAAGAAGTTTGCTTTTTCTATTCTATGTCATCAACCAAAGTGGGGGAACAAAGAGAAAGATCATTAGCCAATAGACAATTTGAAATTTGAGATTGAATCCTTTTCTGTTTCATTATTTGAATACTGATTTTTCCATGAGCGTATTGTATGCATATACTTGAACATTCTACAAAAATGTATAGACGTACAAAACTCAAAGGAGTTTCCAATGGACATATATATTTAATGGTGATTGAGAATGTTTAGGAATGAGACTCTGGTTTTGATCAAACGCCTGAAGACGCAATCTAAACCATCCTCAAGTCCCTGGATATTCATCTCAACTTCAGCCAATTGATTCTGTGAGTTCTGCAGTCCGCTGCCCATACGTGACTTTTGGCAGTTGATCAGAGCATACAAAGCACCATCCAATTTCTCCATCTCACTGCAGCCATTCTCTTCTTCCCTTTCGCATTCTATGCGCTTTGGTTGCATCAATTTTGAAACCAAAGGCCAACCACTGGTCTTTGATTGTGCCTTTGGTCCTGATACAAACGACAATATGGACTGGAACACCGAGACAGTGATCGCTTCCACTTCCTGCAGTACGTTAACAATGGCCACAAGGTCAAGATCTTTGCTGATGAAGAGAGCAGAGGAGGCGTGCTTCTCCATCTTCTTCAAATCTGCTAGACATTTGTGGATAGTTTTATTAATCTTCTTCCTGAATGTCATGTAAGCACCAACTTGGGTTGCCAAACCAGATTCTCCGCCTCGTTTCCTCCGGAGAGATGATTCAAGTTGTTGCAGAGATTCTTTGAGCTGTGACAAAACATCCCTAGTGGTGCCACAGATGTCCAATAACCTGAGAGATCCGTCCAACACCTCGTCTGCCCATTTGGGGTGGGAGAGAGCTTGTTGGGTGAGTGGCAACTGAAGCAGATTGTCTACACACTCGAACAAGTCATGGAGAGCACTCAAGTTGTTGCAGAGTGATGATGATGATGAGCAGGAGGAGGATAGGGCTTCGGAAGCCCTTAATCTGTGCAACTGTTCCTCGACGGCAAGAGTAAGAGGATGAGATGCGGAGGGCAAACTGGCAGAACGAGCATGAGAAGGCGCTGTAGGAGTTGAAAGGGTGGTAGCCATCTTCTCTTATAATTAACAGATCAAGAAACCCAGCTATCTATTGCAATTGAATGTTATGTTGGAGATGTGTAGAGAGATGAAGATGTGGCCTCACCACCTTTGGGACCTTATTATATATAGGGAGAGGAAGAGAAGAGTAAGGAAGAGACACGAAGAATCTCACCCTTGAACTTCCTAACAACACTAAGCTGTCATGTGGTGGAACTTGATTTATTTTCCGGCAATGTCTCATCAGTGTTGGAAACGATCTACTTCACAGAAATTAATTATAGGTTATGCATGCATGGTTTATAAAAACAAATATAAAATGTACACACACGAGTAGCTAGAGTGTCACTATGTCTCCCAGACAGAGAGATGGTGAATTGATGATGATCACACATTATATATAAGATGGAAAGGCTAAACTCCATGGGGACGCAGCAATGCATCCAAGGTTTTGATTAGTGGTTTTAGCGCAGTGGTTTGGAATTGAATGGATTGTTAGGGTCAACCTTCTGTTATGGTTGTTTGAGGGATGGTTTAATTTGTAGCAGGTGTGTGTATGAATAGGGTGAGTGCATTATAAATGGACCATGTTCAATCCAATTCAATGAATGTTCTGGATCAATTGGAATGGTTCAATTCAATGTCTGGACCGCCCAATCTGTTTAAATTTATTTTGATTTAGATTGGTTTTAACCAAAAGTCTGGTCCATTGACACATATATTCTTATCTTATATCAATGGACCAGATATTGGCTTAATCCAATTCAATCCAATATAAATTTGTTACAGACAGACCAGGTCCAATCTAATCTAATAAATATTTTGGACCCGATTGATCCAATCCAATATGTCTTATTAGTCCATCCAAATCCAAAACTGATCCATTGACACCCTTAGCTAGTGATCTATAATTAATTTACTGAGTGATGTATCCTCTGCTCTGCTCTAGTGATTAAGCAGGACTACTTTGAACTTGGGGAGGCAAACACATTTGGTTGTATGTAGTAAATCAATTAATTAGTTGAATAAGATTATACTAATTAGCTTGTTTTAAAGCACAAAATTTTGAATGCCTTCACATATCTGAAATAATGTTGGGGGACCAACGTACCCCCACTGGGCCACTGGTATTAGTCGCTTGAAATGATACAATGTTCCATTAGTGTTGTTGCAGAATTATTATCTTCAACTTTTATGCTTAATTTTTGTTTGCTAATTCACGATTACTTTGTAGTGCCATTCCCCCGCCCTCCATACATCACGTAGACACGATTTAAGAATCTAAAGGTTTCCTTGTCCCCAAACAGAGGACGACATATATTCTGATTTTGCCTAATTCCATTTGTCCTTACTAATAGATCAGAAGTCTGTAACTATTGGTATATGGATGATTAATGCTATTGTGTCCTACATTTACCTTAAACTTAAGGGTGTTCTTGATGATATATGCCTGATGACTTCTGTTTATATGGTCATTAATTTTCATAAAGAAATTTGATTTTGTGGATGGGAACCCGATTGAAACTATTAATTATACCCAAGGAGATAAATGACTCAAATTAGGATAGAGTGATAGTGAAAAGCAAGAAGAAGAAAAAGAATTTTAAGTGTAAGAAGACCGAGGAGATGTTTCATTCAGGAAATGTTCATAGATATATCCTCTAGATCAAACAAAGACTATCACCCCATTATTCTTAAATTACGTTTGGTCTTTAATTTGTTTTTCTTTTTCAGATAAAGTTTTGCGAAAATTGCAAAAAAAAAAAAAAAAAAAACTCGCTGTTTGCTAGCATTGATCTCCTTGATCAGGGAATATATTGGTGAAATACTTCAATGTCTTGAAGTAAAAAAATAAAAAATAAAAAAGGCTGAGGACTTCAATAATCCACCATGAATACCCAATTACCAAACCCATCGACACCGGCCATTAGAAATTTTAGAATCATGGAAGAAGAGTTGAAAACAGAGCTGCAGCACGGCTGCAGGGAGTTGTTTTGATAAAAATTAAATAGGGTATACAGTAGAATAGTCACGTTTCATTTGCCAGTGCAGACGGAGAGAAATTTGTGATGGTTTGTCACTTTTCAGGCAGGCTTCTCTGGCTCTGGCCCGATGGAGTTGTACAAATGCTTCTCATCAACTATTAACTATATATGTTGTTCAGAGATGTGTCATTCCCGTCACAAGCAATGAAGCAAACCATCGAACATGAGAAATGGGTACTGGGTAGTCGACATTAATCGACATGTTTGATGCATATAATCACTCAAATCATCAGACATGAGACACAAATACATCTTGCTTTCGGCTGCCAACAAAACATACAACAGATGCAACAGCCCTCAGCCACTACGACTACTATGATGCTCAGACGATGGCCAGATCCATGTTTCCCTCTTCTGGGTCTCCCTCCCATAGTCCCATGTAATGTGATGGGTTGCTTCATCAGCTTGCGACTATGAATGCCGTCGCAGTATGCATCAGATCAGAACGCAGATGGATGAATTGTTCATGCTCCAACAAGGCAATGTATTGAAAACATAACTAGACGTTCAACCAAATACAGCCTCATCTTGTGGTTCAACCGGTTCAATTGTGATGTCTTTTCTTTTTGTTTTTTGGGTTTCTAGCAGATAAAGGCAACCTTTTGCCCTTAATATCAATAAAAAAATAATACTTTTATATAATAACCAATACGGGATAGGTTTTTTGGAAAAATATCAAACAAGGGCAGTGCGTACTGTTGCTCGTCTTCCTCCCCTGCCTCTCTATATTCATGTGAATGGAACTTTTAAGAACAATGAGAGAAAACAAGAATCAAATCGCTGGGTTTTTTTCACGTGTATAATCGAAAAAAACGACAGCTCTCGGCAGGATTCCAACAACCTTTGCAATAAAAATGAGCTGCAGAAAAGAATCTTTTTTTTGGCATTATATTTCTGACAGTTTTTCACGAATCCGTTTCCCAAAACTCTTTGGATTTCTGGTGAAAGTTCCGTTTGCATGAATACAGAGGAGGATTTTTTGTGGGGGAGGAGAGAAGGGGGGGTTTCGATGAATTAAAGGCGATCTGATCATTTTGTTTATATGGGAGTTACAGTTCAGTTAGGATGGTGTGTTACAGTGCTAGGGAACAACGAGGGAGCTGACACCTCACCATTGCATACAGAAAGCATTTAAGCTGTTTTCTTTAATAGCCTGAGTAGATTTTGCTAACCAAAATTGTGACAGCATAACCATAGAGAGAAGACCATACTTACCGCATTGCCATTTGCCAGGTTGCCAAGATTCCTCCTGTCTCTTCCCATCTTCTGTAACTACATACAAATATTGATTGGGGGTTTCAGCTTTCTTGTGTATCAAAAAGACAAAGAAAAAGTCTGGTTCTAAGAAGCCTGAAGGCAGTCATCATGTTTAATCGTTCCATTAGCCTTCCACCATGCATGTAGGCATTGACAATTTTATCATCAACTAGCTGATGGACACAGAAATCATTTGCATTAATCGGTATGGACATAGATATCATCAACTAGCTGATAGACACATCCTTCTCTTAACAATGAAAAAGGGCTCTACTTCAAATGGGTAACGACCATTTGTTATTAGACAAGCATGGGGTGATGAATGGAAGAATTTCAAAAAGAGTAAATTGCAGATTATTACCCAACTTTGGGACTGGTCTTATTTTAATCCTCGAATTTCAAAACGTATCATTGCAATACTTAAACTCTAACTGTCAATTTAGTCCAAAACCGTTAATCGATATTAAGTGACATGTGAAAAAAATACAAATTAAATAATCTTCGAGAAAAACAATCGTGCAATTTATTCTGTAAATTTACAAAAATGGATAGAGAAAAACAATTTGTCAATTTACAAAAAGCCTTCCAACAACCACAGAATATTAAACAATCGTGCCAACTAAAATAAATCCAGAAAAGGATTAATGATTAAAGTGAGACTAGTCCTAAACTATAAGATATTAATCTGCAATTTATTCTGTAAAAAAAAACAAATAATTAAAACAAAAATTATCAAAAAACATTGTGTAGGTCAAATGGGTTGACCATTCAATCGCCTTAGTCATTAACTAGCTGATCAAGTCAACGGTTTTTCACAAAAAAGCATTCAAAGATGAAACGGAACTAGAGGTGATCATGAGTCGGGCCGGGCTTTGCACTTATGATAGGGGTTATAGCTTAGACCCGGGCCCAGCCTGTAGGGTTGTTCACGGGTTGGGTTGGGTCGATTTACTGGTGTTTTTCCAACCAACTCGACTTTACCTAGAAATGAAACCAAACCGACCCAGTACTAAGTAAGACTGACCTGGTCGGTTTGAATCGGTTTGGGTCAGTTTTGTGAATGATTTTCTCGGTGTAAATGGTAAAGGATTCAAGTCTAACAAAGCAAAGGCTGGATGCCTGAAAACTAAAAATGATTTAATGGATTAAAAATAATATTTTATATATCAGAAATTTTATATATAATATGTATATTTCTGAAATAAAGCTGAAATATTTCCACAAATATATATTAAAACTGAAATATATATAGTAAAGTTGAAATATATCATTAATATATAATATATATCTGAAATATATTATATATATAATATATATCTAAGTCGGTTCGGGTCGGTTTGGTTTCGATTTTCATACATGAAAACCGAAACCGAATCGAACTATCGGTTTATGTTTTTTTGTAACCCAAAACCGACCGATACTGAAGAAAAACCGACCAACTCGAATTGGATCAGACCGGATTGGTCAGTTTGATCGATTTGGGTCTTGTTATGAACAGCGGCTGGGCCTGATTCCGGGCCAAATGATAAAGCATTGGAAAAGGAAATTCTCTTTCAAGAATTGATCAAATTTTCTAGAATTAACTAATATTAGATGAAAAAAAATCCCTTGGAACCAGAAAAATACTCAAGAAAAATAATATTTAAATAGAGAGCCCAAGAATCTGGGCATAATGATTCCCACCTTTGTAAACAATGAATGCTGTTACAAATAGCGTAACAACATGCTAACATGGATCCCACCTATTAAAGTTTTAATTAATTCTTGATAATTTTGAAATCTTTGCGTTTTAAAATAGTATAATAATTAAAATATAAAAGAAAATGTCTTATCTATATTTAGATTTTTCTAGAGGAAAGGATGAAGAAGTAAAGACCAAGATTTTCTCTATAAAAGACATTTCTAGAGAAAATGTCTGACTAACAAACGCTTAAATCTACGAGAGAGAAACTCAGAAAAAACATGGGAAGGCCCAAAACTCATTAAAATTAATGCTAGGGCAATTAGGCAACTACAAAGTCATACATATGGACTCACTCAAACTTTGATTTATCTCGGCAAATCAGAATTCAAAAACCCCATTAAACCAACCCCAAAAGTTAAAACACCACTAAACACAACCTTCTGAACAAATCAGAAATTAAAAATTCTAAAAAAGCAGAAAAATAAGAAATTATCAAAAATAGTAAGTTTAACCAAGGTTTTTAAAATTGAATTGAACAACGAATAAACCGTTGTTCAAATCGATGATTCGAAGACAGAACCGTCTTTTGGCCAGGTTGAAACTCAGAACAGAAGTGTAGCTTAAACTGCAATGTTTGGACGCATGCATCTGAGTTCAAGGTTGATGGCCAACCACGAGAGCGTGGGCTCCAAATTTTTAATCCTACCACTGCAAGAAACATTACCTAGGCAGGACAATCTTGATGAATAGTGCTGTAAGATCGATTTATACTGGCTAGTGGCTGCAAGGTTCAAAATATAGATACGCCTGATAAGCTGGTAGAGGCGTATCGGGCTGTATCGATAGTTTTTTGGGTTTTATTTATTTTTTTTTAAAACCAAGGCTCAGCTACCATCTGAACCAGTGACTGACCCAATACAACCTCTGGAGGGGTGTATCGGCCAATATGGGCCAATATGTATTGATACTTTGAACCTTAGCTGCGAGTTTTACCAAATCATCCACTAAATTTACTTCTTATCACCAATTACTCCCAACATTTGCATCCTAAATTATGGATCATTTTCTTCATTTGCATTCATTCAACTCTTGGGTCCTTTTGATTCTCAGTTGAATTTGAACCAAAATCCTTTGAAATTGGAATTGGAATGGTCTATTCCCGTAACCTGTTTGGTTCAAACAAGAATTGGAATCAAAATGAGAATCAACTGGAATGAGATTTCATTCCCAAGGGACAGGAAAGGAATGGCCATTCCCTCAAATGGGAAATGCCATTCTACCAGGAATGGGGAATCAGATTCTGACTCCATCCAACCACTTGGTTGGAATCAAAATGAACTATTCCGACTCCTATTTCAGACCCCTATTCCCATAAACCAAACAGGCCCTTATTTCTACTCCAAAGACAATGATTGGATCGGCTGCCCACACAGTGCACCCCATAGCCGATCCCCTCCGTGCACTGGAACATCTCCCGTTCTTGTGATGGGGACTAAGGAGATAATTCCAATGCACGGAGGGAAAGGGCGGTGGGATGCGCTTTGTGGGCAGCCGATCCCGTCTCAAGCTAAACATCTAAGTATGTAACAATCTGCAAAATGGAGATTCAGCCGATCCCGTCTCAAGCTAATCCATCCCGATCATAGGACCATAATATGCTACGAATATCAAAATGCAGTTTGTAACCTGTGACCATTCAAAAGTCAATCCATGACCATCAATTATATTAAAAATTGATCCTGAAACATATTTACCAAACCAAAGCGAGATCATCAGTATGTATTCCAAAATCCCAGTTACTCGATTAAACATAAATCCAGAAAATCTTGGGTCCATAATTGACTTTATTGAGGTCTGAATACATTGCAGCATGGCACTTGTACATGGAACACCCGCTACTGAATGGTTTCCTGCCTTCACCTTTCAGCTCTTCAATGAGAAGCCTGAACAATAAGATAACGGAAATTAACATTCAGCCGAATGTGTTACATCTTACATATGTATGATGCTTAAACATTAAGAGAGGACAGTGCATTCACGTGCTATATTCAAAATAATGTCATATACGCTTTTATTTTGTTACGTTTATGTATGCTTTTGGCAGATAAAAATGAGTTACATGGAGCAAAACACAGGCGTAGGAGCCAATACATGTACAGGAAGTACTGACACAGAAAGATGGAAGAAAACATGGGCTAGGGGAAACATTAAAGATCAGTATTTACTATAAAAAAACTTCTCTATCCTGCAAATTCTGTCAGCATATACCTATACAAGATTGGATACATCATCTAGAAGTTTATGTTTGTTGTCTATAAATTATAAATATTTTATCAGAGTTCATTATGTCAGATAAAGGAGAAAGAGGATAACCATATGAAAAGTGTCCCTCAACCCATGGGGTGTTGGAACTTGATGCGTGTCTGAACACTTTGCCCATGAGTATGATGACATGGTTGGCTGATGGTACCAAAGAAAAAGGGACTGCAACAGTCAGCTTGGCACTCTTTCTTTAATACACAGACTGTCACTCCCTATCTGAGCATATCCACCACCTTTATGAAGACTGCAAGCTTAACCTTATATATCATTCTTTTATTACTTATTTGCAATTTATATCAACCGATATGGCATTGCATCACTATCTTAAATTTATAACTTAATTTTTTTTGTTGATCAATTAGTCAGCGCTTAGGCACTGAATAGCCACATCATCAAAGGACATTAAAATAACTTGGTCATCATCTCACTGCATTTTTTTATAATTGAAAATTAATTCATTAATCAAAGGATAGATCTGTTACAAAAAACCCAGAGAGGCTCGAGGTGCAGCATCACTATTAAAAATAAATATCAGAACTATGTTAAAATACAAGTAACCCACAAGAAGAGAGATTAAAAACAATTACAAAGCTGCCCAGAACAGAGAATCCCTGTTAACAAGAGTCATCATCTCACTGCATTAGTAGCATTGGTTCTGGCTGCCAAAATTCTGCCACCATAATTTGATCTGGAAAAGTTACCAAAGGCCTTCAAGGCATGATCTCATCCAGCCTATTACCATTGATGAATCTCCTTTGGTCTCCCTTGGTCCCAGCAAGGCCAGAGTATGCAGCACCAACTTCTGTTGAATGTCTTGGTAACATTCCAAAAATTCCAAATGGATCATGGGGACCAAGATCCCTGAGCAATGAGCAATCATCAAAGTTGAGTTTAATTCAATCCTACAGGGAAGGGGGACATTCCCTTTCTACTAGTTGGCTAGAATGAGCAAAGGATGCAATTGTCTGTACCCCCTCAAAGTGGAGTTAGTGGGAACTCCTCTAAAATTCCACTTCCGTAGAGTTTCAATGAGCTACTCTATTTTTTCTATGAATGCCAATGAGCTACTCTAGTAGTGAACAAGTCTATTGCGAAGTTGGCGTCCATCCCTTTGTTGTTAAAGATTATTGTATTCTTTCTTCCCATATACTCCACAAGGTTGCTTCTCTGGTGCATCTTTACATAAATTTCCTCCTAGTTATTGCAAAAGGAAAACTGACTCAAAAGGCTCAACGATGCATGTAAGAGGAATCCACGTAGCACCAAACAAAGACAAGAAATGGTTGTTATTTTTTTTACTTTTTATTTTTTGAAGTAGAAGTAGTTGTTAAATTAATAGCATGAGAATAAGATAAAGATGTAATTAGCAATTTCATCACTATTATTGCATTGCACAAGTACAGACAAGTACCACATCAATAGAAGGCTCTAATCTTTGGTGGAGTAGAACCTAACCAGACAGACTTAATGGGTAATGATGTGTCTACCCTACCCCACCATAAATTCTTTCAGAATCCAATCCACGAACTTGAGACTAATCATACTTAAGGAGCTGAAGACAATGTGACCAGTCATAGGTTTAGCATCCATCTATTTATGTTCATACTATATTTGCTTCTGATCACTGAAACCCAAAGGTGATCTTCCTCCCTCGAGAACCAGGTATTCCATTTTATTGTTTCCCAGCTCCCATGAGTAGGAGTGCAAGCTGGGCACCCGAGTTAAAGATTTTACACTGCAACAGCCTCAGCCCAAGCTTGTTCAAAATTTAAGAGCCCGCCCAAGTTGCACCGCTACTCACACGAAACTTCTCATTATCATCTCATGTTTTTTTATAAACTTTGTTGATGCCTCGTAACCTGAAAGGTAGTAAGAGTTGCCTTGATCAAAGTGATCCTTTTGTGATTAAAGTGATTAAGGAAGAGGCTAGTGACAGTTGCCTTGATCAAGTGATCCCTCCACCAAAGGATATGTAACTCATTTAACAAGCACTTTTTTATCATTGCGCTTTTCCCTCCTAACCTTTAAAGATATTCTCCCCTTAATTCAAAAATAACTCATGCTCCCAGTTTTTTATCAGATATTCAATTTTTGACAATACCAGTCCAAGATATAGCTCTCAAAAAGTTCATTTCTTCTTGAAGCCTACATTTTCCTCCCTAATCTAATTCATATAGAAACATGTGATTAAAAGCTGTAAAAGGTCTAATTTTTCAGTTACATTTTCCCAAATATAATAATGTTTTCTTACATAAAGTAGCTTAGTACATACGAACAACAAAAACAACTGTATTAATTCAGGTGCAAACTGAAATTCTTTAAAAAGTTAGGTGCCTTATAATTATATATTATTATTTAATCATTAGTTGGTATCTTAATTATCATATGGATGCGCTTTTACCAGCATCAGTTGCAGTGGCATACCTCATGTTCATGAGTGTGACCATGGGAGTGATCTCCATGGCCTTCCCAAGGATGTCTCCATCCCTATCCAAAAAGAAAGTGCTAAATGAAAGCCAAGACCTGAAATGATGAACCACACACACACGCAAAATAAACAAATAAACAAATGCTTACCAAGACTACAGGACCATCTTGTTTAGCCCTGTAAAGCACCCAGAACCTACAAATGGCAGAAAGAGTTTTAAAAGTTGGTTGTCTGCAGTTTTCCTAAAAGATTTTAACAATCATATTACATTTAAATTACCAAAAGTATATATATATATATATATGCCTGTAGACATGGACAAATTCGTAACTATCTCAAACAGGGAGATATTTGTACTCGCAATGTTACAGTTTTCACCAAAAAATAAGACTATGTTTCAGTGAAATATAGATTTTAGAGATAGGAGAACCTATTGACTTTAAACATTCTCTTCCTTTAAGCTCACTGCTCCATTCTTCTCCTTTTACCTCTTCACTCAATTTCCTTGTATTTTGCTACTCCAACTTCTATCATGTTCTATCAAGAATATTTATTACAACTCATTATGATTTATTCATCAAAAGTATGAGATCATCCTTAGCTCACCAAGCCCAACCCTCAATTGTCCCAAGTATTCCCTTTAGCCTTTGATATATTGCTAACATCATTCTATTTCTTGCCATCCAATCACTACCCAGCTAAAAAACTAATTTCTCAAGTTCTGCAAAGGGGTGAATCCTAGTTGCTTGAGATTATCAATTTGAAGGATGCCATACTCTTAGGCTATATCTAATCAATGTGTTTGCTTTTCTATGGCACATAGCAAAGAGGCCTTCTGTTCTTTGGAAGTTCTTTTGTTCCGCTTTCCATGTTGTTTGGTGCTTTCCTCCTTCAAGTAAAGGTCTGGTATGTCGTTTCGTTAGCACTGAACCCAACGAAGTAGAGGTTTTGTGATGGGTCAGATCAGAGTGGAGCTTAAAAGAAGACGTTCAGGTGAGAAAAGCTAAATGCAGATTTCTTTCCTTTTATTTTCTGTAGTAAGGAAGAGGCAGATGAAGTCCTGGAAAGTGAAACAACAAAGTTTAGGACGCCAGATCTCTGGCTGGGTAGATGGAATCCATTTGTGGGGGCAATTCAAGAAGTAGGGAGCAAAAGCCTTGTTTGGATTAATGTCTTCAGGATTCCTATCCATGCCTGGAATTTGAATACATTTTCTGCCATTGGAAATGCCTGCGGTTGTTTCAGAAGAGTTGATGCCTATACATAAAACTACATATAAGTTGAAGAGTCTGGTTGTAGAAAGGATTCTGGTCGAAGCAGAGAACTTGCACTTGATCCCCCTGAGCTTAGCATTAAACTTTGCTGGGGAGTGGTACGACTTGAAGTTGGTGATTGAAGGATGGTTCCCGCTACATTGGCTTCAGGAGGATGCAGTGGTTTTGCCTGATTGAACTCAGGAGTTCAATTGCTTTGCAGAGGAAATAACAGAGTCGTTTGAGCGGGGAATAGAAGTCTAGAGGAGGAAGACGATGGAAGTTGAATTCTAGACCAGGGGATAGTCATGAGAGAGAGAGATGAGAATCTGGAAAGGTGGGGGTAAAGAAGTAATTCCTCAGATGGGAGATGAGAGGTCTTTAGTGGAGGATAGACATGTCGTGGGAGCTTTTAAGAAGGGGGTCTATCTCGATAAATCTAAAAGTACCTTCTTAAGAACGAATATGGAAAAGATCAAGAATGGGACCCACACATTTAGAGAGGTTTTGAGTAACTTTAAGAGGTGCAAGGCCCTGCCTTAGGTAAAGGTAAGTTGGGAATTTGAAAGGGGAGAATTAAGAAAAGAATAAGGAGAAGGCATGGGGCAGCTTACAATCTTCATCGGAAGAAAGCTTCATTTACTGGTTCATCAATGGATGTTGCTTCTAACATTTGAATATATGGGTGTGGCTCGGGGATATGTAGGGCAAGGTCACTCCCATTGCTCTGTTGCTTGAACCAGTTGAAGATACACAAGAACCGTGCCCTGTCTCTACTTGCTAGAAGATGAGACAAGAGAATGGGGGTTTTGTTTCTAGTTACCAGGAGGAAGCCTCGGAAAGGGAGTCAATAGTAAGGGATGTAAGTGAGGCTAGGGTGGAGAAGGTGGAAGAAGGGGTGAACAATGAAACCAAGGACAGGGAGGAGGGAGGTGACAATGAAGAAGGAAGTGGCTTAATAGAAGTTGAGGGCGAGAAGGGGATTGATTTAGAATTTTTTAATCAAGTCGCATTGCATAGGAACGATGTCGATTATGTGGTATCTGAAGTGGTTGTCGGAAGACTAGGAGTGGACTTGGGCCACAGGGGCAAGGAGACGAGTTTGGCTAGAAGTGGTGAGGTTTCGGTGACCCCAAAGAAGACCAAAGTTTCAAGCAAACTCAACATGGTTCATGTTACCAAGGTTTTCTCAGGGTTGAAAGATGGTTTGGTGGGAGCTAGGCCGACCAATAAGTGTAAAAGGATTTATAAAAGAAGAGGACTTGAACTCAGATCTGAGTCTTGAGAACCCACACCTAGATTCTTCACTCTCATCCAAAGGGGCTAGAAAGATGACCTTCCAGTGGATTCTCAAAGCATTGAGTTGAAAAAGTTTGAACATTTCAAAGAAATCAACTAGGGTTGATTCTGATTCGAAAGAGGTTTTTTGTTGAAGTGACGTCGGGGGAAAAGGAAATAAAGAAAGGAAGCATGGACTTCTCAAGGTTACGGTTCAGGTGCCACTTGTACCTGCAAAGGAAGTCAGTCCAATAGTTCAGGAAGAGCAGGATATGATGCTGGTAGGAAGCACTTCTCACGCTCTGACCTGTAATGTAACACTAGAAGAAGGGCAGAACTGGAAGAGTATTTCACCTGTTAAAGCAGACAGGGTATTGATTCACAGTGTAAACTCTCTCACGCAAGCTCAATTACAGGGAAGGAACAGCTTTAGGCCCATCTCCTTACGAGAATCCCTCTCCCTTGGAAGACGTCCCCTCAGTCCCAAACAATACAGGTATTGTTGTCCATTCGGTTTTGGTTACTAATGTGCCTTCTGTGCTTGAAACAGATACACCAGCATCCTTAGTGGAAGTTCCAGTTGGGGGGAAGAGAAGAGAGACTGGCAACTTGGAGTGTGAACTGAGAGAAGGTGAGGTAGCATTGGAAGAGAGACAGAAGGAGGAATTAGAGAGAATTTGGGAGAGGATCTGCGCATTGTTGGAGGAGTATAAAGAGAAGGAGGAGGAATTAGATCAAAGGGAGAGAGTAACAACTTCTCAAGAAAAGGACTACTACAGAAGCTCCAATCTAGGGGGAGAGGTAAACAAAGCTAGTGCCTCAACGAGGAAGACTGAGGGTAATAATAGAAGAAAAAAGAAAAAGAGATCTAAAGTAGAGAGATTGATTTCAGATATTGAGGGTGATATTGAATTTAGTGGGAGAGTGGAAAGAAGAAATACTCTGCTGTAAGGTGGAGTCTTTGAGAAAGGGTTTTTTTGAAAGAAGTGTTTAATGAAAATCATTAGTTGGAATGTGAGAGGCTTGGGAAGTGAAAGAAAGAGAATGGCAATTAAAGATTTATTAAGAAGAGAAAAACCGGATATAGTTTTGGTACAGGAAACCAAGCTGGTAGGATTGGATAGAAGATCGATCAAAAATGTATGGAGATCAAGAGGAGTTTGTTGGACTTCGACTTCGTCTTATGGAGCCTCTAGAGGTCTAGTAACTTTATGGAGGGAGGATGCTGTAGAATCAGTGGATGAGCTAATAGGGAGATATTCCGTGTCTTTAAAGGTTAGGAATGTGGGGGATGGTTTCACCTGGGTTTTAACCAATGTCTATGGGCCAAACTCGTATAGAGAGAGGAATGAGATGTGGGAAGAATTGTATGCCATACGAGGTCTATGGGAGGGTCCTTGGTGTCTTGGGGGGCGGGTTTTAATGTAATTAGGTTTTGTACTGAATCTAATAACCCCCAAAGAACAGTTACAACCAGCATGAAGAAGTTCAATGATTTCATTAATAAATGTGGTCTAAAGGAGTTACCCCTCTTACAAGCCAATTTTACATGGTCTAATTTCCAAGAAAACCCCCTTTGCTCGAAATTAGATAGATTCCTCTTTACTGAAGAGTGGGAGAACCATTGGATGAACTTGATGGCCAGAGCTTTACCTAGAGTCACCTCTGATCACTGCCCTATCTAGTTAAGTCCTGAAACCTTAACATTTGGTCCACGGCCTTTTAGATTTGAGAATATGTGGTTAACTCACCCAGATTTTGTGCACTTGATTGGGGAATGGTGGAAAGAAGACTTAAGAAGGGTGAACTGGAAGGAAGATTCCACAAAAAAATTGAAAAGGTTGAGATCCAAAATTAAGGAGTGGAATAGGGAACACTTTGGAATGATAGAAGAGCAAATAATTAACTTGGTGTCCAGGATTGAGGAACTTGATTCCAAAGAAGCTCAAAGGATGATGAGTGAGCAAGAACGGGTTTTGAGAGGAAACCTAAAAAAGGACCTGGAAGAGGTCCTTTTGAGAGAGGAAATCTCATTGAGGCAAAAGTCGAGACACAAATGGATTAAGGAAGGGGATGGAAATACTAAATTTTTCCATGCGTTGGCTAATGGGAGGAGGAGAAAAAATTTTGTGGCTAAATTAGAGGTGAATGGGGAGGAAATCACAAATCAAGATGAGATAGCTAGATTGTTTGTGGATCATTTCAAATCAATCTATAGGAAACCGTTGAATAATATGCCAACTTTGGAAGATTTGGAGTGGACTAGATTGTCTGAAGAACAAGTAAACTGGTTAGAAAGGGACTTTAGTGAAGAAGAGATCAGACAAGCGGTGTTTCAATGGATAGATCCAAAACACCTGGTCCAGATGGCTTTACAATGGCTTTTTATCAGGACTGTTGGGATGTGGTCAAAGAAAGACCTTGTTGGGGTGTTTAAGGAATTTGCAGATAAAAAAACGGTGAGCCCTGGAGTTAATGCTACTTTCTTAGCCCTAATCCCAAAGAAGGCAAATGCAAAGAACCCTAAGAACTATAGGCCAATTAGTCTAGTGACAAGCATCCATAAAATATTGGCTAAAGTGTTGTCATTGAGAATTCGAGTAGTACTAGCCTCCATCATCAGTCAAGAACAAGGTGCTTTCATGCAGGGAAGGCAAATAACAG